AAACAACTGCACCTCCCAGTCGCGAACCATTTCAACTCCCCCTCCCATTCCTCAGACGACATGTCCATCCTGGGCCTCCTGCAGTGCCACAACGATGCCACCCGAAGGTTGCAGGAACAGCAACTCATATTCCGCTTGGGAACCCTGCAGCCCAATGGTATCAATGTGGATTTCACAAGTTTCAAAATCTCCCCTCCCCCCACCGCATCCCAAAACCAGTCCAACTCGTCCCTGCCTCCCTAACCTGTTCTTCCTCCCACCTATCCCCTCCTCCCACCCCAAGCCGCACCTCCATCTCCTACCGACCAACCTCATCCCGCCCCCTTGACCTGTCCGTCCTCCCTGGACTGACCTATCCCCTTCCTAACTCCCTACCTACACTCACCTTTACTGGCTCCATCCCCGCCTCTTCGACCTGTTTGTTTCCTCTCCACCTATCCTCTCCTCTATCCCTCTTCTATCCGCCTCCCACTCTCTCCCTATTTATTTCAGAACCCCCTTCCCCTCCCCCTTTTCTGATGAAGGGTCTAGGCCCGAAACGTCAGCCTCTCTGCTCCTATGATGCTGCTTGGCCTGCTGTGTTCATCCAGCCCTGCACCTTGTTGTCTCGGGAAGTTATGTTGCTTAGTTAGGGTGCAGTTCCTTTTCTAAAAGATCCACCAGTAACAACTAAAGCCTAGGGAAATCTTTTGACAACATGCACCTATATGTAACTGGTTATTTATCAGATTGCTTAAATTTAAATAGCCTGCTAAATTTACCTGGAGAGCAACTGCGTCTCCAGTTTGAAAGTTAGCCACTATTTGTGAAATATGCTATAAATACATCCCCCCCCCCCCAAATCATGGAGCTGTAATTATATTTCTTAGCCACATTTGCTACAACAGGTCCGTACAAGCAAAGATGCTTGCATTGATTAACGGTTTCTGACTGCAAGTGAGACTTGTGACTTCATGACTGAGATTGTTATCTATTTCAGCTCTGAATGACTGAAGAATAATTGCTCCACAAGGTACTGAGTTGTTTGTGAAAATCCTCAAGTCAGTTTCTGTAGTTTACACAGTATAATTGGTTGAGTCCACCTCAGCTAGATAAGATCTTCTGGTTTATTAATGCAAAATTGACAACAAGGAATGTTTATCTTTGCTATATGCAACCTTTTGTGCTGTAGTGAAATCAAATAAACAAGTGAATAGGATTACATTAAAACCAGTACTTATTCTAATTGCTAGGGCACTTTAAACTGCAGAGCAACAAAGACATTTTTTGGCATGACTTTGAGGTGGTTGTGTTACATGACATAAGCAGTTGGTGAAATTCTTCACTTGTATCGTAAAAGCTAGTCAGAAAACATTTTGCAGATTAGTTTACAACTTCCACATCCCTGTATAGTATTGGAAGTGCTTGTTATTAAATTTCAATTGAAATGTCTTCCTGTTGCTAGCTCATAATTGTTCATTAGGCAGATTACTTCCAGAAAAGCACTGAGGTATAATTTGAGCTGATTATTTTATTGAACTCATCTACCACAAAATTATAATCCTATAATTAAAGTATAGAAAATGTCAATTTGTTCCATGCAGTAACAGCTGTTCTGTGCTAATAGGTTGCATATTTATGGTTCTTTACTGCCTTTCTTTTGAGATTAAACCTAAACATTTAACCAAGCACACAATAGCAGATGTTGGAATACCTTTTAAAATGTCTGGATGGTTTAAATATCCTGTCAGTGTCATTAACTCTAACTTTTTAGTTTTAAACATTAAAGCAATTGACAAAAAGTAACATGGGGTTTTATATAATATAGAATTCTTAAAAGTTCTGTCTGAGATAATGGCAAATAAAATGTCAGCAAATAACACTGCACAAGAAGACTACTTTCTGAGAGCTGAACAAAATCAAAAACACTTTCTAAGTTTGAAGTCATTATGACCTTTTCATCTATTCAATCTATTCGAATCTACTCAGCCCCATCATTCATCATGCAATTGCTAACACATACACAGATTTCTTGAACATTGTATTGAAGCAATGGGGTAAATTAGTAACTGAGTGCTGGAGAAAATCAGTAGGTCTGGAAGCATCCTTGCAGAGACAACCTGAGTTAATGTTACAAATCTGCCAACTCCTCTTCTTTGGAACTGTTTGGAGTGAATTGGATTTGATGACCAATATTAGATTACAGCTTTCCTAGATGTTTCTATAATTGTAAATACAAAACTGCTCTTCTGACTGGTTATGTCCTAAACTCTTGAATCATTATTGATTATTTATACCTTGTGAATTTGAAAAGGATCTTAAGGGTTTTGAATATTATTTACAATTATTTCACATCTCTTCTATAACTTTTTGTCTTCTCTATTATTCCATCAATTTTGATAAGCTGTTGCTATTCAAGATGCAAATTAATCATGAGCTAACTGAACAGTGGAATAAGCTTAAGGGATCTATGTTTCTTCATGGTGTAGTTATTGAGTTGATCCAGTATTTAGCGTGTTTACTGTTATCTTATTTATCTGCAGAACCTTCCCAGGTAACCAGACTTCCTGTAAAATATGAACAACTACAAATGTAATCAACTCTAGTCAATATTTACTGTTATGCAATTACAAATATCTTATTGGTGCCACCCTGTAAATGCAGAACAAATATGGTACTAATTTATTTATTTTTCAATTTTATAAATGTTTAGAACAGATACAGTGGCAGTGTGAATAGCACATTTGCTGAATGACAGGTGTGAATGAGTAGTAGCAAGTATGTCTTGGTATACAGTAGGATCCCAATAGGTTGGTACTGGTCCTTTACTTGATAATATTAATGACTAGACTTTACAAGACACAATTTCAAAACCGAGAGAAACTAAAACAAATTGCTGGAATAGCTCAGTAGGTCTGGCAGCATCTGTGGAGAAAAGCAGAGTTAATGTTTCGTATTGGTGACCCTTCTTCAGAACTCAACGTCAAAACTCAGAACAGTTTCAAAATTTGCAGTCAGTGTAAAACGTGGAAACATCGTGAACTGTAGAGGAGATTTTTTTGGAGAATGTAGGATGGGTGGACATATGGGAGATGAAATGTTATGAAGAGAAGTATAACATGATGCATTTAGGTAGCAAGATTGAGGAGAGGTAATGTGAACTAAAGGATACAATTCTAAAAGGGGCACGGGAGCAGAGTGACCCAGGAATACCCAACTTAGATGGCAGGACATATTGTGAAAGTGGTTAAAGGTCATGCAGAATCTTGGACTTTATAAATTGAGGCATAGAGTACAAAAGAAGGAAAGTTATGACAAACATTCACAAAACATTGGTTCAGAGTCATAGGGTCATACAGCAGGGAAACAGACCCTTTTGGTCCAACTTGTCCATGCTGACCAAGTTTCCCAAACTAAACTAATCCCACTTGCCTGCATTTGGCCCATATCTCTCTCCACTTTGTGTTCATGTACCTGTCCAAAGGTCTTTTAAATATTGTAACTTTAACTGCAGCCTCCACTTG